TTCACTGAGATGCTTGGTTTCCTGGAACCCCTACAAAGAATTGCAAACATGATTAGTGGCTCCAGAATCTACAATCTAGGTATCAGTAGAATCAACCACTAAGCATGACTCAATGAATAGAGCATTATTGCCTTTACCTTACTTTCCCTTGGCTAGGTAATCCGGGCAATTCCTCTTCCAATGACCTTTTTTTCCAAAAATAAAACACTTTCCTATTGGTTTCCCATCTATAGTAGTTTTCTTCCCCTTTGACTTGCTATCTGGCTTTTTGTTTGGCCTCTTCCTCTTCTTTCCTCCTTTGCCACCAGAAGGCTTAGGATGAGAGGATCCAGCTGTAACAGTCAAAGCATTTCCACTTTTGGCCTTTAGAACAATTTCAGCATTTTGGAGCTCTTTCATTAATTCTGTCAAAGACATGTCCATCTTGTGTAGATTATAATCAACTATAAATTGTGAGAATATCTCAGGAAGAGTCTCAAGGACCATGTCAATCTGCGTCTCAGAATCAATATTAGCTCCTAGAACCTCTACAGCATTGAAGTGACCAATCATGGTTAACATATGGTCCCTTACAGATGTGTCGGGTTTCATGCGCATGTTCATAATTGCCCTAATAGAGGCTTGCCTAGCTTGTCAGCTTTGATGTCCAAACATCTCTTGAAGACTTTCCATTATGTCAAAAGTAGTTCTTGTATTCTGATGTTTCTGTTGTAATACATTTGACATAGATGCTGAAATGTAACAATGAGCCATCTCATTAGAATGATGCCACTTTTCATGTGCAGCCTTTTGAGATTCCATAGAGTCATCTTTAGGGGTTTCGAGACAAACTTCATCCAGCACAAATTTGTGTTTTTCAGGGGTAAGAACAATATTAAGATTCCTTTTCCAGTCAACGTAGTTTTCTCCCACAAGTTGATTTTTGTTAAGTATTACTGACAATGGATTAAGCGACATTTTTCTGTAAAATTAACGATTCGTGTATTAATAAAATGAGCAATAATCTTTGTATGATGCATCTATATGAAAATGAAAATATAGACCAAAAACTATACTTGTGATAAAAAACCTTAAACCCTTACAACCTTTAACATGCCCTCTATAGGAGGTCAATGTAGTTGTTGGCAAGGTTGGGACCCTCCCACTCATTTTATTGAGCTAGGAATCTCATGCCACAAGAAAATGAGGATTGATTATTATTTTGCTTATGAATAATTTTGTTGAAATATTCTATAGGAAGTCCTCCAAAAATATTCATATATAAGTGTAATAACCTCCGTCAATAATTTTAAAATATCTGAAATATATAAGATGTCTTCTATAGGATGATCATCCCATTATTTCATTTTTCTAAAGAAATTCTAGATCCAATTTCAGTTAATCTAAAATAACATAATTTTCCTATAGGGAGACCGATATAATTCGATACTAAACATACGTAGTTTAATAACAAATTGGATGACGGAGGAGGCCGTAGGTTTATACATGCCTATAAACCCTCTCCCACTTATTATTTTGTACCGTTGGATTTTCACTTAATTAGTCCCCCAAATATAAACAATTATAATGGAAATAATTATATAAAATATTTTTCAACCACCTCTAATTAATTTAGAGTGATAAAAAATATTTAAATGTAAATGCATATGATTTTACTGCATTAGGTGGTGTTTCATTTAATCTACATGACATGTGATAATAATTAAATATTTTTCCTTTCATAAAGTGGTAAAAGCGATAATTAAATGAATAATAATCACTAATGGCCCATCCTAAGAATTTAAATTACAACATGGATAAAAAGAATTACATTGGGCCACATCCCGGCCCAATTCTTCAATCTTCTTTGTAGTCCACCTCATGTAACATGAAAATAGGGTTAATTTAATTTTTAGGCCCAAATTTTAAAAATAACAAGGGCATTATACAACAACATTGGCCCAAGTATCAAAGAAATGCCCAAAAAATCCAAATTACCCTAATTTTCAAAACCTAGCAAGAAAACACACTTTCACCAAAACACACACTGCCCCTGGCGCTGCCTCCCTATGACGGCGAGTAGCGGCTTGCTGCTGAGCCAGCAGATGCTGCTGCTAGTTCCAGTAGTAGCTTGTTGCAGCCATGGCTGCTCCTACCGGATTTTGTGATTCATGTTTTTCTTGTATTTTATCCTTCCTTTCTCTTCAATGAAAATACAACAACAAAGATTACATTTCTTCCTCAAAATACAAATATGAAAATGAAGAAAAAATACAAAAAACCTTAGTGCCTTATGGCTTACAAGATTTCTAGAGAATAACTGTAATAAATGAATTACAATAGGAAGTAAAAAGAAATTCTAGGGCCAAAAGTGATTATGAATGTATCGACAATAACTTTAAACATATTTAAAGAATAAACATGTCAAAATCAAATAACCTAACACCACCCAACTAAAATGCATTTTACACTAGGATTTAAAAAATATTAATCCTACTCAAGGTTTACAATAACCTTGGCTCTGATACCATTTGTTAGTTAATGGATTTTAATCATCTCAATAGGAAATCAATTTTCCTTTGAAGATTAAAACCATGTAAATAAGGATTTTAGTAACCTTGAGATCATTGGATTATAAAATCCTCACACATAGAAAGTGGAGAAAATAACCTTTTGAAGGAGTTTTTAATGGCCTTGCCAATTGTTTCCTCCTTTAGATCTTCTCCCTTGTTCTCCACTAGATGTATTACTTTTTGAAGAAAAATGAAAAGTTGCTAACCCTAATTCTCACACAAAAACATGCCAATAAAGTGCATATTTATAATGCCATATT